TTGTTTTAATGTGATCCAATTTATCTTTTTCTTTTGTGTTTTTTTTTCCTGAATCTTAAGAAATCTTTTCCTGGTTTGATATAAAAATATCTTTCTGAATTTTCTTCTCATAGTTTAAAAATTGTTATTGTTTGAACTTTTAGCTTCAAATCCAAGTGGAGTTTATCTGCAGTATTTTGCTATTTTGTATATGAGATAGAGCTATAATGTTGATTTTTCAGTATGGGGAACCAAATGTGACACTATCAAAAGTCTATACTTTGCCCATTTATTTGTAGTCAACTCCTCCCCCATATGTTTGGGTCTCTTTCTGAACTTTCTAGTTTATTCCCTTAATCTCTGTATCCCTTACACCTCTATCACACTGTTTTATCACGTGTTTTGATGCTGTGATGTAAGCCCTTCTTTTTTTTTACATTCTTTTTAAAACTCTTTTGGCTGTTGTTGGCTCTTTTTACTTTCATATGAATTTTTAAGTTTATTTTTTCTAGTTTTATTGCGATATCCTTGACCTACATCAGTGTGTATGTTTAAAGCATATGGCATAATGGTTTGACTTCCATTTTGTATATTGTGAAATGTGTATGAATACTGATGAATCTTTTAATGGAATGCTTCCTTCCTACCTCTCTCAGCAGGTGCTTCCCCCATCCCATCCCCATAGCAAAGATCTGGGTTCCAGCTTCAATGCTGCCACCAACTGTCCTTGGGCCAGTGGTCTAACCTCTCTGGGCTTTGGCTTCCTCATCTGTCAGATGTGCTCTGCCTACCTCACAGTACTGCTGAGAAGAACAAATGAGGTAAGGGTGTAAGAATATGTGGGAGAGTTAAAAAGATTGAGGTAAGGTCAAAAAGAGTAAAAAACAGGGACGCCTGGGTGGCTCCGTCGCTTGAGCCTCTGACTCTTGATTTCAGCTCCAGTCATGATCTCAAGGTCCTGGGATCGAGCCCTGAGTCAGGCTCCACGCTCCGTGGGGAGTCTGTTTTTCTCCCTCTCCCCCGGCCCAATCCCCCCACTCTTCTTTCCCTCTCCGAAATAAGCAAATAAATCTTAAAAAAAAAGAAAAAGAGTCAAAAACAATAATCTCAGGACTGGCCTGAGACAAAAGGTGAGAGTCAGACAATTTCTTCCTCAGTTCTCTACCTTCTCTAACCTTCCTGACGCCTTTCTCCCAAATTTCCAAGGCTGTGAGACACAGAGCTCTGTCACTGGGGTAGACTTATCACAATAATGTGGTAGAGGCAACTTGGATTTAGAGGGCTAATTTCAGACTCTAACCTGTGACATCAGGTGAGTCACTCCAACTTTCTGAATCCCAGTTTATTCATCTTTACAAGGGGCAAGATCATTCCCTCCCTAAGGAGTACTGTCAAATTGAAAGGAAGCAATGGATGTGGAAACGGAAGTCCATTGTCTGGTAAAATAGGAGGCCTATTTTTGTTAGTGCTCTTGCTGATAGTTACATGTGACAAAGTACTTAGGAAGGTAATGGTGCATGCTAGGTCAAAGTGCTTTGCTCTCACCACTTGAATCAAGGCACGTAGGGGAAACAAACCCACTTTTTAAGTATGGTTAGCCATAGTACATATTTACACAGTCTTCTAAAGATGCAGGCAGTCCCCTTCTGAAATACCATTTCCTTTAGATTTTGCAGTCTGGATGTGCACAGAAGTGGAGGTGGCTGAGATCCCATGAGGTTTTTCTGGACAAACAAACAGAGCTCACTCTGGTGCACGTATTGGGCTCAGCACTGGTGGGAGACATCTTTCTAATCCTTGCTGCTCAAACGGCCAGAGCGTCCTGTGCTCCTGTGTCGAGATCAGACTTGATCTTGCTCCAAGTGACATCCATGGGCCAGATGACATGAGACTGTAGTCCACCTGCTCAATCTCATACAGAACACCCTTTTCCTTGGTAATTAGGTTCTTGCCTTTTCCTCAGTTCTATGGAAACAGGACTTCTTACCTGTTCCCTAGTTACTTCCATGGCTGATGCTGGACTGTCATGTTTTGACCCCTGGTCTCTGCTACAAGTTGCTGCAATCCTCCTAAACCATTATCAGCATTACCATCCCCTGCCTGTGGCCTTTGGCAATGTCCACTTCTCCACTGTGGTTTGGGCAGAGTCCTGGACTTTTGACCTGGGTTTGGATCTTAGTCCCCAGAACTCACAATCTGCCTGTCCTTTCCTTTGGGATCCACACCATTTCTGACCCACTCTCATTCTCTTCCCATGGGACTCCTGCCTATTCTTGCTTCCATGTTCATGCAACATCAAGAGTCTGACTCTCCTTCCAGACCCTGTCTTATCTCACAAACCGCTTTGCAAAATCCGTCAGTTAGGTATCATTTGAAATAGACCATAGCTGACTTTATTACTATTATTTTTTTCAAATGTGGGCATGAAACGTAGGCACAAGCTCTCCAGTAGAGGCTGTGATTGTCTGCTTAGAGCCTCTTTCATGAATGAAGGACACATTCCCCGAGCTACTGAGAGTTGTCCTCTCAGAAGAGAGCAGACTTGCCCACAGTCACAACCCCCCATGGGGCAACACCCTGTGACTGCTTGATGTGGTCACAGCAATCAGAGGGAAAAGAGATTAAAGGTCCAGACCCACATGACAACTATGAAGGGCCATTTCATTCTCGGGATCTCCATGGGGTGAGCTGAGGCTTTAGGACAGCCTATAATCCAGCTCCTCCCTCTGCCCATTCCTCTCTCCTTCCCTTCCCCTGCAGGGCTTGATCCTGGGCACACTCTTATTTCCAAGAAGTCTCTATGTTGAGTCAGATTCTTGGAGTCCCTGGCCAACAACAGGTGTCCACAGTTTGTTGTTGTTGTTGTTGTTGTTTTTCCTCAACCAACCGACTAACTCACCATCTTCTTTCTCCATAAATTCATTCTCCTGGTGGTGGGCAGAATAATGCCCAATCCCACCCAAAGATGTCCACACCCTAATTCCCCAGAACCTGTGAATGTGTTATCTTCTATGCTAAAAGAGGCTCTGAAGATGTGAATAAGGTTACTGACTTCAAGATAGGGAGATTACTCTGGATTATTCAAGTGGACTCAATCTAATCACATGAGTCCTTAAAAGCAGAGAATCCTTCCTGGCTATGATCAGAGATGTGATTACAGAAAAAAAAGGATCAGAGACATGCAACGTTTCTGGCTTTGAAGATGAAAGAAGGGAACACAAGCCAAGGATGCAGGCGGCTTCTGGAAGATGGACAGGGCAAAGAAATGGATTCTCCCCAGAGTCTCCAGAAAAGAATGTAGCACTGCTAACACCTTGATTTTAGCCCAGTGAGACCATGTAAGGTCTGTGACCTATGGAACTGTGAGATAATAAATCTGTGTTGCTTTAAGCCACTGAATATGTGGTAATTTGTTGCAACAACAATAGGAAAGTAATATACTCCCCTTAGGGGTTAACGTAATACTTGCACACTTATATGACCTTGGATGTGCCCTTCACCTATGTAAGCCTTATTTCTCTCATCTATAAAATGGTTATTTTGGGCCACATGCTTGCATAACAGCTTCTAACTTGACATTTTATGACCCTCACTGGCCAGATTCCCTAATTTGCAACATTTAGTTTTTTTCCTTCTAATGAGGTAGTTGTTTGCTTGTCTTTTTGATGATAACACTAAGGCAAGCCTACCTGAGATGCTGCAGGAACCACAGGACGACCATGCACAGGGGTGAAGAGGGAGATATTCTTTTCCTTTGTCTAGCTCTACCAGTCTGTCTTCATGTTGATTACTAAATTTGCTAGTCCTATAACTCCTCATGACCACAGGAAAAATGCATCTCAGCTGTGAACAAGTTATAAACCAAAGCCTGATGACCAATAGATTTTTGTCATTTTTCTCTCTACTAGTAGACTTTCAAGTACAACTAAAAAAAATTTTCAGTTATGCTGAAAATAATACATTAAAGTTGTAGGTATCAGGCTTAGAGGTGGGATCGAAGGTAGCAGTGTTCTGGTTGCCAGTGAAAGCTAGGATTTCTTTAGGGAAATCCACCATTTTTAGGATTAAAAAAATGCCCTTAGCCTGGTTTTTGTTAGGAATAAGCATAATGAAGTGGCACTGTAATTAAAATACTGATAAACCCACTAGACATAGCTGTTGTGGAAAAAAAAAAAAACCTGGATACTAAAATGGGATAAAAATAGAGCCTCATTTGGCCCCTTCACCCTCCTAGTGGGAAACCAATACAGTTGCCACTTCATTAACTGCTCTGCGTTAAGAAAAGCTGAGCGGACCACAAAATAGTAATGGCAATAGCGCAGTGATAATGATGACTCTTGCTACATTTATTTAGCACATTATGCTTTTCAAAGCACTTTCTGTCTATTTACTTGTCTGAGCCCCCAGGTCTCAGTATTTCCATAAGAAAGTGGGGGAGGTGTGTGCTGGGGGACATCATCCACCTGATTTAACAGATGCGGCAATCCTGACCTACAGCGTCTAAATGACCCTAAAGTCGTCACAGCTGTGAGCAGCAGGTCTGGGTCTGGGGGTTGCACTCTACATGGAGATCCATGTCTGCTATAGCTCACCGCCCCTGGCAGTTGGAGTCCCCCAACTCAGGGTCAAACACTGTCTCAGGAGAGCTTAGACTGCAAACCTAAGGCTACCGGTAATCATTTTTTTTCCCTCTCTCCCAATAGAAAGAATAAAGTCATTTAAGAATGAATCATTAACATTGGCTGGGAAAAGTCCTAAAGAACTGAATGAAAGAGAAAGAAAACTCTAAGAAACTAGAAGTGGATTCTAGTCTGTCACCCACCTCACTGGGGTTGGTGGTACTGGCCAGTGATGTCCACATACGAACCAGAGCGGAGGCAAAGTGCCCCCTTTCCCACCTTCCTGGGATCCTGCTCATGTTCCTTGGAACAGTTTCCCAGAGCACTGTGTGTTATGGCCTCTGTAAAATGACATCACCAACACTGTCACTACTTGCCTCTCCTCCCACTCCATGACCCAGGTCCAATTAGCCTGACTAACCTGGAAGGAGAGAAGACAACCTGAGGCCAGTAGCAGAAAAAGGATCAGCCCTCAAAGGCATCCACAAGTCATCTGGACAATAAGGGGGTGAGATGAGATCTCTGCAATGATGCCATTTTTCCCAGCAAGTTCCCATTTTACACCTGGTGCATTAGTATCGTGTTGACTTGGGTTTGAGAGCCAAGTGGTGACTCCAACTGGGCTATAATGTGATCTTGGTCATTATCACCTAGGCTCCAATGAGGCTCAGTTCTCTCAGCTATGACATAGGTGTGACAAGAGTGAGTGTCCTTCCCACTTTATAAGGGTGTCATGAGAGTTAAATACCCAAATGTAAAGAATTGTTGAGAAGAGATGTTACGGTTTTATTATTGGCGGTAGCACTAATCATTGTAATTGGAGCTTAACAGTAACAAGGATATTATTAGAATCAGCAATTGTGGTAGTGCTGGTAACGCACTTTGGAGATTATTCATCACATGTGGATACTTGCTGGGAAAGTCCCTAGGGTTGGGAGAGTGTGTAGCATGCCCTTTCTCAAATTAGTTCCTTGGGGCTTTACCACAACCCTAAGAGGTAGAACTTGTTACTATCATTCGACACAACAAGAGGCTAAGACTGAGAGAGAGAGAGAGAGAGAGACAGGTAGACAGACAGAAGTGTTTTTATTTATTTATTTTTTAAAGAGTTAATTATTTATTCATGAAAGACAGAGAGAGAGAGAGAGAGAGAGAGAGAGAGAAGCAGGCTCCCTTCGGAGCAGGGAGTCCAGTGCAGAACTGGATCCCAGGACACTGGAATCACAAAACCTGAGCTGAAGGCAGACACTTAACCGACTGAGCCACCCAGATGCCCCAGAAGCAGTTTTAAAGCTGATATCATGAGAACGCAGCATTTTCTGCAGAGTTCCAGTAGTGACAGGCATACTTAGCACTTCTTGTGTAGAACAACCTTGAACCTTTAAAACCTTGTTTGTTACCAGGGACTTGTTGCCCTAATCCCGAGAAGGAGTTATGGTCGGTTTTAGAAGTTCCTTCACATGTAGCAGAATGGTTCACTATTCAAAGTCATTGATGAGTCAGCTGATCCCTGCTCTATGATTGATGTAGAAATGTCCACTAAGAATTTTCTCAGCAGGAACTTTCTAACGCTATGATTTTTCCTGACAGAGCCCATGATGTGTGTTTCCCTACCACAGAGTGGATTTGTTGGGAAGTGACTGCCAATCAAGGACTAACTCAAGGTATTTTTTTTTTTTAATCAAGGTAAGGCCATGTGACTAGCGCTCATCCATGGGATGTAATGTGTGTCAACTGAAGGCCAAAGAGGGTAGGAAGGGGGTGTGCCATATTTACTGTCTTCTTCCCTGTCCACCAGGTAGATGTAGAAGATCTAGCTAGCATACAACTCAAAAGCCCTAGAAGACAGTGATGACACAAGACAGGAGGTACCTAGGTTTCTGAATCACCACTCTGACAAACACCCATTTGGGCCTTTACATAAGGGAAAGTGATCTCTCGTGTTAAACCACCGAGACTTGAGGTTATATGTTACACCAGCTATTGTATGATAGATCCAATGAGAAGAGATCCACCAGTATTTCAGACCTGGTCCTAATTCCCTGCCATTTAAAAAACCACTGCCTTTCTTCTCCATGGATACCAGCTCACCCATCCTAAGCAGCTTTCTTTGTGCTCTGTATAGGTATAGAGAAACTATTGGCTTATCAAACAACTAATAAACCCATGTTTGGCAAAATAATAGTTTTCATCAGCAAGTGACCTTAAAATAACATTTACGTTGCTGGAGAAGTCCTTTCAACCCAGAACCAGTGGCATCCCAACTCAGGCCCCCCAGTGGCATGAGACAGGGAAACTAATGAAGTGTGGGGGATTATTAATGATTTTATCTTCTCATTCATCCATCCCCTTTCCTTTTACAAACTTGCAAATATGTTCAGCAGTGTCAGATCTGGTTCATCTATTTTTGACACATAAATAGAACCTATCCTGTTGGAATTTTTCAGAAAAGACAGACACCATGTGATTATCATAGCTTCTGAAAGCAGCCATGAGCTTGGAAGACACCGGCTCCAGGGGAAGAAAGCCTTCATAGGACCCAGCTCTCCCAGGTAGTTCCCATGTGGTCCTAGTGACCTCAGAGGGGAAAAAATAATTTTAGTTTTTTCCATGGTAGTATTATTGGTGATAATATTTGTTTCAGAAGACATAAATATAGAAAGTTCTAGAACATACTCACGATTTCCTTGACAGTGGGATCAATGGGGTCTACGAAGAGTCTTGCGAACTTCTATTTCGGTGTCTTCAAGTAGTAAGCAAGAAACAGTCCTGTAAAGATGGACAGAGGAGGTCAGAAACAAGAAGTTTAGAGGATTTAAATTGCTTTGTTTTTTAAATAATAACACGTGCTCTTTTCAAACTTACAAGCAGTATATGTTCATTTAGAAAAAACAGAAAATACATATTGGGAAATAAGACATAAAACTCATCTGTCATCCAGATATAATCACTAGTTAACCCATGGAACATTTATAGACTGTTTCATGAGTACTTATGTATATATGGATATATATTTTTTCTGTACTTTTTCATTTATAGAACTGAGATCATACTGCATATGCTGTTTGGTGACCTGCTCTACTTTCATTGAATAAGTCATTATGAATTTTCTTTTGCCACTAGATACATGTCAGCAGTGTGATACGTAGCTTCAAAGAAGGTTCCCAGTGACCTCTGTTCTCTTGCATCCTCACCATCATGGAATGCACCCCCTGGAGCACGGGTGGGACGGATTTACTTCTAACCCACTGAAAGTGGCAAGAGTGATGGGATGTCAGTCAGAGATTAGGTCACAAAATCACTCTGGCTGCTGTCGTGCTCACCTGCTCCTGTTCTCTAGCTTGTTTATGGTGATGAAACCAACTGCTATGTTGTGAACTATTCTACAGAAAGGAGGGCCATGGAACGGAGGGAGGTCTCCAACCAGCAGGCTTAGGGAACCTGAATCCTGCCCACACCCACTTGAGTGAACCTGGAAGTGGATCGTCGCCAAGTTAAGCCAAACACTTCACTGCAGCCTTATGAGACGTTCTGAGTCAGAGGACCCAGTTCAGCCATTGCCCACAGACACTGGGAGATAATATGTTTGTTGTTTTAAGCTGCTAAGTTTTGGGGTAATGCAGCCGTGGATAACTAATACAAACCACATAGTTCTTAAGAGTTGTTTAGTATTCCAATGTAAGGTTTACTCAATCTTTTACGGCAGTACATTGGTTATTTTATTTATTTTGCTATTATAAACAGGGCAGTAATGCATGTCATTATAGCTACATCTTGGTACACACCCTTCAGTCTTTCCTAAGGATAATTTCCTTATAATAGCTGGATTTCTAAGGGATTTCCTCTTTTAAAGCTTTTGAGATGCTATTTCCCAGTTGCTTTCTGGTAGGATTGTACCCGTCTGCATTCCTACTGGCTGTAGTCTGGAGCGGCTACTGGCTTATGTTTCTGAGGCCTATTTTTGGTTGATTTCAACCACTCTCTCTTGAGTGTGTCTCTATGCAAACCGGCCAGAAACAAAACTAAAACCAAATCCCAAAAACCCAAGAATGATGACTAAGCTTGACTCTTCAAAATTACTAGATAATATGATGCTGAACAGTTTATTGAGAATACTATTGTTTTGAAGTCAGTCCGATGAATTCAACCACCCTCAAATTGTTTTTCCCATCTTTCAGCGAGCCCTGAACTTCTGAAAATACGATGATGCTCAAATCCCTAAGAACTTTGGAAGAAAACAACAGCACTGGTTGAAGCTAAAATAATAATGAGCTCTTCTGAAAATATTTCAGTCAGAGAAAGGATCGTCAGTAAATTCAACTTTCTAAATTAGCTGGATGAGTTATATACATATACATATATATGTGTATATATATGTATTTATATAGATAGAGATGGATATAATTTATTTTGGGGGGGGAATTTCGCATACATAGCTATGGCCACCATTTCCAAATTGCAACTTCACTGTTGGGGAAGAATAAATATTTTAATGAATGCTATATATTTTAACAGGCTCTGAACCCTGTGGTTGGTTTAAGCTAAGGGTGCAATTTCAGGCATCTAAATAAGTAAATAAATGAGGAAGAAAATCCATGTTAATTGCAGTAATTTGCGGTACTTTCAAATTCTTAATTAAGAAATAAAATAGGATTCATTATCCATGCCCACTGTAGATGGCATACATAGATCACCATTATGACCAGACACAGGACCTGAAGTTATTGCCATAAATGAAATAACAGAGAGAAATCACTGGTGCATTATTGGTCAAACTCTGCAGGCACAAAGAGGGAGGAAAGAGGACACAGAAAATGCCTATTGTCCATAAATGCCCTTTTTTTCTGACCTGGGGACTGTATTATCCCAAAATATCTCCCCTGAGCTTGGAGTCCTGCCCCTCCCTCCTAATCTCTGGGCTAGGTTTCTTCCCTCAAGCCTCACATATAATATTTCTCTGAGCCTCTCTGGACACCCTGCAGTTGACACCCTGCAGTGTCAACTTTTCCCCAATCACCAACCCCAGTTCGTTCTTCTGGTGAGTCCTAATGTTCTTTTACAAAGGCGGGAAAAAGAGAAAGACTTTTCTTATAACCAGAGGCATTCTGACTCATGCTGCCTTTTGAAAATTAGGTATTAAATTAATCTAGGGAGGGCATATAATTTGTCATACAAAAGTCACTTTTGATTGGGACAAATGCTTAATTTGCCAGGATACCAGATATAAAAGCTGTACTGTTCCTGACAAAGCAGGATGCTTGAGGCCTCTACTGGAAACCCATCAAGGCCCCCAGGGCAGGGGTAAGGCTGGGGTGGACATAGCTGTACAGGCAGGTAAGTGGGAGTTCTGCCTTGGTTATGTGAGTATAGGGGTAATAGCACTGGACATCTGGAAGGAAGAGCATTGATACACCTGGTTGTGGGATTATATGGCTGGTCATTGTGCTTTTGTTTGGAACACTTATAATAAGGACTATGGGTGTGTATCTCCCAGGCTCTCCTTTTTCTGTTGTCCTACCAATCTTAATCTTGCAGGCTGGCTTGGATAGTCCATGGGCAGTCAACATAATTCTGGATTCCATGCCTTTCAACATGGGCAGTTACGGGCAACCAACTGCAGTTAGCTCAGCAATGAGAAGGGTGCAGAGCATGAGCAATTTGGAGGAATTTAGGTGACTCAAGACAAAGGAAGATAAGAAGGGAAAATATCCATTGAGTATCTCTTAAAGGAATGAGGAATTTTGTCAGATTAGGCACTGGACATTTTTGAGCAAGGAGGACATCTTTTGGTTTTACCTGTATCCCAAGGACAATCAGAAATTAACACATATATTTCCCAAATGCCTATTATATCCTATATGGAAGGCATAAGAATACTCTGAGACATACATCTTGTTCTCAGGGGACTTAAGAAGTAGATTCCTTGAGTTAAAGGCTCTTCTCTTTTGAAAGGGAAACCAGAGAGAAAGCTGGACTCGGTATCTTTTCTGACAGCCAGCCTGATCTTTTCTTGGATCACATGTATGCTAAAGACCCCCATGGAATTCATAAGGGCCGAAAAGAGTGTCTGCATCTTGCAGTGTTCCATTTCTCTAAGGATCCTTCCTCTCTGGCTGTATCTGGATGGAATCCAGACCACTATGGGACCCTGGGGAGCCCGGGGAAATGTGAACAAATATCTCCATTCCTTATTAAAACAGGGTGCAGAATGACATCATTCTGCCTTTATTTTCTGATGATTTATGGCAAAGAAGATATAGAGCTTTTTCAATTTCAGAAGTAAGCCAAGGAGAAACACTTGCAAAATACATCCATAAAAACAGGCTAGATACAAAACTGAAAGAAAACCCCCACTATACAAAGTGTTCCTACAGAATTCATGTGTACCAGGTACTCTTTGTTCCAATAGTGAGCGACAGCAGGATGCTCAGACAAGACAGTGAAAGATGGGAGAAATATGGCAGATCTTTAAACCATAAGAAATGCCCTGGGAAACATGCCTTGTTATGCTGTGGCAAGAAGGAACCAGTAAACTCTTTCTAGAAGTTCTTTGGAAGAGAGGTGTTAAAGGCAGATACGAATCAACTATTACATTTGAGAACTGTTCATTCTGTCATTTATTCATGTCACCTAAGAAGTATTTATTGAGCCTCTTCTCTATTCCAGATATAGTATTAGGTGCTAGAGATTCAGAAGGAGCAAGACAGGGGTTTACAGCCTTTTAGATGGGACTTCTACTTTTAAGATAGCAGTGTTAAGAAAGCCTTGACCAATTCTCTCTATATCTATCCCAAAACAATAAGGAAAAAGCAGAAATGCACATTTCACCTTTGTTGAGGAAAAAGCTGTCATATGCAATAAAATTCCGACCAGGAGTGGGTAGATGCTGAAGGATGTCTGCTGCCAAAGACTGCAAGCAAGGTTGGCAGAGCATGGAGCTTATCAAAGAGGACAGAACCGACACTATCTTTTGGCAAACAACTGGTCTATGGTGAATCAGCTGTCTGTGAGAGCATCCCCGGACCCTGTTTGGTTCCATCAAGAAGCAGGGAATATGGTATAAACAAGAAAACACTTAGGGGTGCTATCTCTGCAGGAAACAGTCTGTTGGGGAGGCAGACTGGAGAGGACAGTTTCAGTACTCATCAGTCTTGCAACTGCCAATCTCTTATTTCTTCTGGATTGAAGTGAAGGTTAAATCAACATGTACATATATGTATACATACAACCCTGTGTGTCATAAAGTGCAGTCCTATAAATGAAAGAGACACTCTGCTGGATGCTCTCATGGCCTGGATCCTGCCCCATAAACTTTCTGCAAAATAGTTGGTTAAGAAAGAGCTTCTCTCCGCCAAGTCTAAGTCAGAACAGAAAAGAAACTATCAGGAGGCGCCTGAGGGGCTAGGTCAGTTAAGCGTCTGACTCTTAACCTCAGCTCAGGTTTCAATCTCCAGGTTGTGAGTTCAAGCCTTACGTTACTTATGAAAAAAGGAAAGAAACCACCTGAAGAGCTCTACAAAGATACTGCAAGAAAAGAAGGTAATGATTAGAGAAAACAAAGAAATTGTGTTGTCTCAGAGCTAAAGGAACTGGCCAAACAAATAAGCACAGACAAGACAACGAGCCTTAATGAAGAAAGATCAATTATATAAAATAAGAACTCAAGGAAGAAATGTCAAGACAACTGAAAGAGACAAAAAAATGAGCTAGCAAAGTTTGGGAAGGAAGTGGAGGAGATTAGGATGCCATCAGAGGCAACAAAAAGGTAAACAGACAATGCTCAAAAAAGTGGGGTTAAGAACAGGAATGCTGAAGTGAGCAAAATGGAAATGAGCAGTTGAAAAGGATTAGAAAAAGAACATGGTAGCTGTGGAAGATGAAACAGATCAAATAGACCTATATATATGCATAATTAGACCAAGCAGTATTTGATAAAGAGTACTGAAAAAAATAGAATAGAAATTGTATTTGGAGAAATGTAATCACAACATATTTTCCAGAAATAAGATACTTAAGTCTATGTATAAAGGAAAGCCAAACCAAACCAAAACTAAACATAAACTGTCTGAGAAAATACAGATACAGAGCCAACAGCCCAAAATGTAAAGAAAGACTCTTTACCATCAAAATAAACAAACCAAAAAACCCCAAAACAAACAATATAAACCCAAACCAGAACCAGAAGGTCTTTTCTAAGGGGAAAAGAATTAGGTTGGTTTCAGAGTTTTCCACAGCAATATCTCATTCTAGGAGACAGTGGAACCATGCATATAAAAACCTCATTAAGAACTAAATTTAAAACATTAAAAAAATGTTATATTCGAGCTTTTGTTGAAGTACAAATGCTGCTATAACCCAGAAAACGCGGTCACCAGGACTCTGTCTGGAATAAACTGTGATGTCAACCAACCAGTAGGGAATACAGAAACTGTGGGAGAAAGTCTGGTGCTGGGTTTTTAACCATTTAGCTTAGCATTAAGATAAAAAAGAATGTGGC